CTGTGTGTGTGTGTGTGTGTGTGTGTGTGTGTGTGTGTGAGGTCTCACTATATACAGGCTGGTCTTAAACTCACTGTGTGTGTGTGTATGTGACAGGTCTCACTATATACAGGCTGGTCTTGAACTCACTGTTTAACCCAAGCTGGCTTCAAACTTGTGGTGATCCTCCTGTCTTAACCTCCCCAGTGCTAGTAATCATGCACCCACCTCTATGTTTGGCAAGAGATAATTTCTGAAAGACAAAAATTTAACTTAGTATAGTGACAGTGGTTTCACACAGTATGTGATAATCCCACATATTTGTTGCAGTCAATTTATAGTTACTTGGAAGACCCCATTAGTATAGATTATTATAATTTGCTAATGATATCCTCTTAAAGGACTGCTATGCCTTCTTTACCTAGAAAGGACTATATGTAGTATTCCTGTGCCTGAATAGATTTTACCCCTGACTGGAGCTAAGTAGCTAAACGATCTCATAATTCATTTTTTATATCTTCTACTTGTCTCTTTGTCATGTTCATGTTGCTCTTTATCTTCTTGAACATATATATATATATCTATATATATATTTTTTTTTTTTTTAATTTTTTTTTTTTTTTTGGGTGAAACAGGGGATTGAACTCAGGCCCTTGCGCTTGCCAGGGAAGCACTTATTCCACTGAGCCATCTCCCCAGCCCAATACAATATATTTTAATGGCCATTTTAATATTTTCCTGATACTTTTATCACTTAGATCATTTATGATTTTGTCTTTATTGATCATATTTTCTTGTTATTGGCCATATGTTCATGTATATCTGATAAATTTTTGTTAGATTTTGGACTTTGTGAATTTTTTTGTTGTTTGCTGGATTTTTTTAAAAAAATATTTATTTATTTATTTTGTGTGTGTGTGTGTGGCCAGCTCAACCCACCAGGGGGCGGGCGCTGGCTGGCATGTGGTGCTGGGGGATTGAACTGTGGTCCCTGTGCTTTGCTTAGCTTAGCTTGTTCTAAGTAGATGCTTTAGACCACTGAGCCATCTCACTAGCTCCGATTTTTTTTTTTTTTTTTTTTTTTGGCGGAACCAGGGATTGAACTCAGACCCTTGCGCTTGCCAGTGAAGCGCTTACTCCACTGAGCCATCTCTCTGGCCCCTTGTTTTGTTTTTAAAAATATTTTTTAAAAAATATTTTTGCCAAATTTGGTGGCACACACTTTATAATCCCAGCACTCAGGAGGCTGAAGCAGGAGGATAATTGTGAGTTGGAGACCAGCCTGGGTTACAAAGTAAACTTAAGGCCAGCCTAAACTACACAGCAAGACCCTGTCTCAAAAAGGCTATCTATCTATATCTATCTGTCTATCTATATAAAAATAAAATATTTTTGATCTTTGTGTGGGATACATTACATTTACTTGGGGTTGAGCTGGGTGTGGGTGGTGCACACCTGTAATCCCAGCATTTGGGAGGCTGAGGCAGGACAATTGCTATGAGTTCAAGGCTACATAGTAAGTTTAAGTTCAAGGCCAGCCTGAACTACATAGCAGAACCCTATCTCAAAAAACAAAAACAAAAAAAAAAGAAAAAAAAAAGTTACTTGGGGTTGAGTTTGCTCCTTTCAGGGTTTGCTTTTTTCGCATTGTTAAGCAGGTTCAGATCAGCCTTTAATGCTAATTTGGCCTACTTTTTTTTTTTTTTCTTTTTTTTTTTTGGAGACAGGGTCTCTATGCAGTTCAGGCTGACCTTGAACTCACTATGTAGTATGGGCTGGCCTCAAACTTAAGGCCATCCTCCTGCCTCAGCCTCCTAGATGATAGGCATGTACCACCTCAGCCTTCTTTCTTCCTGGATAAATATGAATCCTATATCCATTCCAATTTTGATTATTCGTTTGTCAGTTGAGATAGCTTAAATAATGAAAAGTTCCTGAAATCTAAATAGACTAAATGGAAAACTAGATCTCTAGACAATGTCTACCAAAATTGTCCTTAGTTCCTATTATTGGACCATGACTTAGTTACAGCCATTCTTTGCTCCTTGCCCTTGCATCTCATGAGGAACTGGATCCTTTGAGAAGTCAGGAGAACCTGCTGGCTCCTAATTCTGTATATTTATCAGTGTCAGGGTTATAAGATAATTCATTTGCAGTTTCTTGCTCCTCTTGTGTAACTACCTTAGCTGCTGCTTTCTCTAGCATTACTCGAAGATGCTATCTATGTTTTATTTTTATCAACAGGAGGGGAAACCAACACTGATGTTAATGAGCAATTAAGCCTAGAGCCCATGGAAATTGAAAAGGTTTCCCTAGAAAATCACTCCACTGCTACACCCTTAGTCAGTTACCCACAAAATTCCTCTGAGCGTAGAGATGGAATCCCTGAAAGAAATATATCAGCGGGAACGTCCACTTACAAGAAAAAGTTAAGAAGCCTTCTAATTACTATTGAAAACCATACTCCATTAGTAGAACTGTCTCAATGTTTAGGAGTCAAAGCACTTTCTGAAATTATTGAGTTTCCCCCAGAAGAAACCAAAAATGAGTACAAGTGTCCTGAATGTGACCAAAGCTTCAGTGATAATTTATATCTTGTTTTGCACCAGAAAATTCATTCAAGAGAGAAAAAACATAAATGTGGTGACTGTGGGAAGAGCTTCAATTATAAAGCCAACCTGAGTACACATGAGAGAATCCACACTGGAGAGAAGCCTTATAAGTGTACCAAATGTGATGCCATCTTCCGCCAACAATCACATCTGTCCCGGCACATGAATAGCCACGTGAAGAAGAAACCCTATACGTGTGGTATTTGTAAGAGAGGTTTTATGTGGCTCCCAGGATTAACACAGCATCAGAAAAGCCATGCTGCTGGAAAAGAATATGAACATGCTAACCGTGGGAAATCTTTTGGTCAGAAAACAAATCTGGCATTGCCTGAGAATACTTACACACCAGCAGCCCAATACCAGCACGGTCAGTGTGCAAAGAGCTTCCAACAGCATATATCGTACCCTCTTCTCCCCGAGAAGGGCCGCAAGAAAGAGTCTGAACAATGCAGTGTTGATGATGAAAACTTTTTTTCATTCTCCAGATTCAAGCCTTTACAGTGTCCTGAGTGTGACATGAAATTTCCTTGTTTCTCAGAGCTTGTTTCTCATCAGAACATTCACATACAAGAAAAGCTCTATAAATGTGAAACATGTGCACAGAGTTTTGCTTTGGATTCAGAACTTGCATGCCACCAGAAGAGCCACAGGCAACAGGAGCCTTTTAAATGTTCTGTTCGTGGGAAGAGTTTTAAGGTGAATACGCATCTCGTTAATCATAAGCGAACCCACAGGAAAAACACCCTGTAAATATAGTAAGTTTTCGTTAATGTTTGGGTGTTTCAGTATCTGTATGACAGGAAATTATGTGCCAAGCACAGTGCTAAGCACTTTATACACATTCCATGTAATATTTCATTCTTATCACAGCCCTCATATAGGCTGTATTATTTCTAGCTTAGAGTTGAGGAAGCATAAGCAATGTCACACAAATAGTGACAAAGCTGGGATCCAAACTCAGTTACTCATCAAATTCCATTTGAACATACTAGAGAAACACTTAGAACTTCTTGGTTTTTGTCTTGGTGGTGCTGGTTTTGCACAAATGCTCTACTACTGAGCTATATCTTCAGCCCCCACAATTTTTTTTTAAAGTTCAATTTTTGTTAAAATGAAGGTTATAGTTTTTGGGGTTTTTTTGGTGGAACTGGGGATTGAACTCAGGCCCTTGTGCTTGCTAGGCAAGCACTTATTCTACTGAGCCATCTCCGCAGCCCTGGTTATTGTTAAAGTTCTTTTAATTTTATTTGCTAAGTAAGTTTGCCAGTTCTGCACATATAAGTGTTTTTGTACTTATTTTATACTTTTCTGTTATAACTATTTGAATGTGATACTGTATTTATATGAGCTTATTGTTTTACATGTAAATTTCCAGGTGTTTCTTAGTTGTATCCCTTTCTGGAGGTTGGACGTGACTTGGGAAGATGGGGTAGTACTTGCTCCTTTTTACGGGATTTGCCTCCAGATCTTTACTGAAGCACATTACTTGACTTGTTTTGAAAGATCAAAACTTTTTCAGGGCACATGTTAGAAACTTAGTTTATATGTAATTTAATCTTGAGACTAAATCTGTAACAGAAAAGACTGTGTTTTACAAATGAGGAAAGTAAAGCCCTTAGAGAATAAGGTCAGTATTTTGCCAGTTACATAAAACACCACAATGTGGTGAAGCTAGCATTTAAACTTAGGTGTCTTCTAATTCCAAAGACTACAAATTCTGTGGCACTGCATTTTTTGGTGGCAGTCTTTTTATTAAAATATTGCCAAAGTTTCACATTTATTAAAGGTAGGGAAAACAGAAAGGTCAGGGGAAAACGGGCTCAGTAAAGTAAATATGGGCTAAGTAAAAAGGGGGAAAAATAAAAATAAAAAATATACCCTACATTGTAGGAGAGAAGCTATTGTGAAGAGGCAGAGTAATCTATACGAAGGAATAGTATGGCAGTCAGACAGGGAAGCTGAACCGGAGAGGAGAGTATGGTCACCATGAAGGCTGCCCTGTACACTTGCATACCTACACACACACACTCACACTTGCATCCCATCCCACACATAGAGTTTTAGACAGTTATTACATTATAGTTTTAGACAGGTAAGTACTGGACCAAAATATTGTTGAAGAGTATGGAACTATATCCTGTAGCAGAACAGAGTATTTCCATGGTCTCTTGATTAGGATGTAAGAATAGTCTCTTGTCTATTTAAATAGATGTTAGAAGGGTACATTACTTACTGAGTACAGTTATTGCTGGGAAATCTTAAGCAAAGCTGAAGGTTTCTGGAGGACCGGTTGGATTGAAAGTAATTCCTGGAAGGTGATCCTTCAGCAGAACAGGTTGAGGACTGAATGTATAAAGAGCAGCTAGCTACTGAAGGTAAGCTCTTAACACTTTCTAGAAGCATGAAGACAACTGTTGGTGAGTGAGAAAAACTAAAAAACAAACAGCCTGAACCCACTTGCTCACTCTTTATTCCCTGTTGTCATTCTTGTCTTGGTTCTAATTTGCAGGTCCAAAGTTGAAGGCCATGGGTACGTCAGGGCAGGCATGGTTCTTTTTTTCTGTTTCCATTCTCTGGATACAGGGTACCAGTCTGCCAGGGCTTCAAGTTGAAGGTCTTAAATTTAAAACAGGCTTTCTTATCTCTCTGTCTGAGATGCTTTGAATTGTATAGAAACTTCAATTATATCCAGTTAAAGGTTTTAGGTACAAGTGCACAGTAAAGCAACAATTAAAAATATGTCTAGGTCACAGTAACTGACAGGCTTGGTTTTTTTTCTTCATTTTTTTTCGTGCATATCAATCATCAACATCATACCAAAAGCCACTGAAATTACTCCTGTGTATACATATACATTTCTGTTTCTGTAAAAGTGCTATTTTTAAAATCTCTTATGGGTGTTTGGGGTAATTTTTCACACTCTGGAAAATAAAAACTGCAAAAAGCAGGTAAACTGTAAAGCAGTCTTCTTCCCCTCCCCTCCCCTCCCCTCCCAGTCCCTCCCCTCTCTTCCCCTCCTCTCCCTTCTCTTCCCTTCCCTTTTTTTCTTTTTGGAGATGGTATTTCAGATTGGCTATGAACTCACTATGTAGCCCAGGATGATTTTAAACTTATGATGATCCTCCTGCCTCAACCTCCCAAGTGCTGTGATTATAGGCATGTGCCACCATGCCTGGCTTAGTAAAGTGCATTTGCACATTGAGGTACACAGTAAGATTTGTAGCATGAATTTTTACTCTCTCCTGTACTTTGTTAGATGCAAAGGAAAGGATGGCAGCTGCTATCTTTTATATGAGCCCCGTTCTATCCAAGTGCCTTCTAACATTCCTGCCTGCTTTTTTCTGCAAAAACTCTGCTAGTGGGGCCTTCTATCTCAGTTTCACTCTCCCCTCTACAGTTCTACACTCCAATGTGATGAGGTACTAAATCAGTTTCTCTCACTGAGGGCAGAAACAGGACAGCAGGAAGGTGGTGTTCTTGTTAATATTTAACAAAGATCACTATATTCCAGAGTCAGCTAAAAAGAAACTGGAGACCTGGGCATATTTTTAATTGCTGCTTTATGGTATACTTGTATCTAAAAACTTTAACTGCATGTAATTCAAGTTGCTTTGCCACAGGGAGTTGAAAGAAGAGCTGTGTCTACCAATGATATTCAGGCAGGTTTTTGATGATGGCTTTTTCATCCTATATACCTTGTTAACTGACAGATACAAATTCCATAAGATTTTTCTCTCCAGAGATAATGAACCTATCATGTTAGGTGCTATTAACAAATATACTGGATAGAAGTTAATACAGAGATGGAAAATTAAATGTAAGAGTTTATTTCTATGGCTGATATACTACGTTTGTCAGGATAAATGTTGATAACACAGCAGAAGACACACTGTACTGAAGAAATTGACTCTTAAATTTCTCACCTTTTGTTGATATAGTGAAAGTGTGTGTATCAAATGGTTCCTTTAAGTGATGGCTGGAATATCAGGTATGGTTAAACAGTCATCATTGCTGAAAACAGCACTTTGCCAGTGGAATTCATATGCCAAATCTCACATTTCATAACTTAAGAAGTTGTGATTTTTTTTTTAAGTAGGGTTTATTGTGTATTCCAGGCTGACCTTGAATTCACTGTGTAGTCCAAGCTGGCCTTGAACTTATGCTGATCTGCCTCAGCCTCCAGAGTGCTGGGGTTATAGGTATAAACCACCAAACCCTGCTAAGAAGTTAAGAAATTTTGTTTCTATAGGAGTTGAGCTAAAAATTGTAGTTTTCTTGCTACAAGCAATAATCTATTCATATCTCCCTATATAGCACTGTAAATGATTAACTCAATAATTCAGGGAGTTAAAACTAAAACCAGAGGGGTCATGGTGGGACAAGCATGTAATCCAAGCACTCAGGAGGCTGAGGCAGAAGGATTGCTGCAAGTTCAAAGCCAGCCTGCACTATAAAGTGAGTTCAAGGCCGGCCCAAACTGCATAGTAAAATCCTATCTCAAAAGACAAAACAAACAAAAACCACACCTAAAACCAAATGACATTTCCCAGTGACTATAGCATAAATTATACAATCTGAACCAGATTTTTCTTAAACTGTATTTTTTACTGTATACATGTTCCAGTGAGATAGCTGGTTTTAGTTTATTTGAATAAAGTCTTTTGACTGTCCCTTAACTTTTATCCCTGTGGGATCTCATTAGGGAAGTATGTTTGCTTTGACCATCAGTTTGAAAGTAAATGATGTTTGTTAGAAATGTACATATTCATCTATTTTAGTGTTATGCATTATGACAGCTATTAATCTGAGATAAAGATGACTATTACTCATCATTCCAAGGCCTGACAATAGGTGTTTTGTCTTTTAAAACTGAGATCTCTTCCTGCATGAACAATCTGGGGAAGAAGTGGATACAACATAAATATTCATTTATGTAAGACTATGATTGTGCTGTAACCTGTAGTTCTTTTGAATACCTCAGAAGTATGTTTATTATATTATGCACTTACACTCTTTGTTGAATGTTTCAATTTTACTGTTTTGGTGCATTCTCATTGGTCTCAGCTGTAGATTGCAGTATGAACAGTGATTATGTCTATTTAATGTGAACTGTTTCATTAATAAATGCTATTTTATGATGATGGCTAAAAAGTGAACTTTAAAAATACACACATACACATATACACACTTTTTTTTTTTTTGATGGTTGGGCTGTGGTTTGGACAGAATAAATGCCTTCAATGCCATTTAGTAAGAAAAGTAAATTGCACTCGATTCCAGCGTTAGCCTGGGAATATGGCATTAGGCATCCACTTACCTTTCAGTCTTCACAGTGGTAGTATAGGACCTACATCCAACTCTGCTCTCACAGTATTAGGGTTTCCTGCTTGGCCACTAGCCACACAAGATCACATGCTCAGTGTGCCACGGCACTACTAGCAGGAAACTGGAAGTTGCGGTCACTTCTGGTGGCTGCTTTAGCAGCACCTGCACCCTCTAGCAAGTGGACAGTGAATGGAAGACCTCCAGCTGCAGTTTGTGTAGACTCTGCTTACTAGTGTACCACACACTAGGTGGTCTTTGTAGAAAACAGCTACAACAGGTCGAATAGATTTGCACAGAGACCAGCGGGAAGGTAACAAGGGTGTGACTGTGGGAAACCATTGTGATTCCAGGAACTGATCACACTGGCCTGGAAAGGATCCTCTACCTCCTTTTTGACTCTGCCCTTCTACAATGTGAATTTATAGGATTGATACATGTGTTTCTGGGCTGTTGAATGCTTTATGCTTCTCTTTTGTCCTAGGTAGAGTTCTCTCTACAACCAGCCAACCAGTGTTAGGGCTTTTGGTGTGCCTTGTAGCTAAATTCTTTTTAAAAATCATTATCTTCAACAGTGTTTCATTGTGTTGTTCAGATTGATTCTAAATGCCTGGCCTCAAGTGATCCTCCTTAGCCTTTTTAGTAGGTGGGACTACAGGCCTATGCCACTCAACTGTGTCTTGTATCAGAATTCTAATGTACCTCTGTTGGTTGAATTATGTCCTTAGCTCACCATCATTTCTGTTGCTACACAGATCTCATTTGATGTCAGCCCAGA